CCATAACAGTTGTTTTTGTTGTGTACTGTCAAGTAATTTCTGATTTATGGAGACTCAAACCTATTATGGGTTTTTCTTGGCAAGGCTTTCCTCTGTGGCTGAGAGAATGTGACTTGCCCAAGGTCACCCAATGGGTATCCATGCCTGAGTGGGGATTCGAGCAGCGGTCTTATGTAGGCAAGCAGAGCAGTGGTTAGAAGGATTTTACTTAGCTGAGTGAAAAATGAGGTGATCCTCCTGGTAAATGCTGGTTGTTCAGCTGTGAGGTTGTTGTATCTCTTTTTCATTCCAGTATAATATCTTGGTGAATAAGCCATTGCCTAATAGAAGACAAAATTATACATTTTGAACTGAACTGATCCTTTTTGTTTTAATCCTCTGGTCATAGGTGATTAATGTCTTACAGTCAAAGTATCATTGTGATGAAAGAGAAGCCTGCATGATATGTGATAAATTCCAAGCCAAATTCCTCAAAGAATGCCATGATCCTTCTAAAATGTGTATTACTGACCTCAGGATTCAACATTGGGAAGAAGCTATACAAGAGGTAAAGGGAGGAACAGCCAATCGGAATCTGGCTGCAGAATGCTATTTCCTTTGGAAAACTACTCGGTTGCAACATTTGACCTTGGCAGAGGAGACAAGATCAATGCTTAGTGACCTCAGAAAGGTTGTCAAGTTGCTTCTGCTAACAAATGGAGACTCGCAGACACAAAGGGAAAAGATTGAGGCTTGTACCTGCCAACCATACTTTGATGCCATTGTTGTAGGAGGAGAGCATCAAGAAGAGAAACCAGCATCTTCTATATTTCATCACTGCTGTGAACTTTTAGGAGTTCAGCCTGAGGACTGTGTGATGGTTGGTGACTCTCTAGATACAGACATTCGGGGAGGCTTGAATGCAGGTTTGAAAGCAACAGTTTGGGTAAATAAAGCCGCAATGACCCCAAAACCCACTTCTCCAGTCCCTCACTATATTATTTCTTCTGTTCTTGATCTTCCTGGACTTTTTCCTAACAAAGAAGATGCTACATTAGAAATTAACAAGGTTGCTGGTAGTTGTAATGTGTGTGAGATTTCCACAGAGAAGTCAAGCACTTTAGCCAGCTAGGGTTGATAGTAAAGGGCTTTTTGTTTTTTAACATGAACATTAAATTGGCTTGTCTTAAATGTTCTATAATGTGAATGTTTTTTTAATACATTAGCTATAATATATGTTTGATTTTCTTTTCTTTCGCTATGCTATCACACATTAATAATGTTCATATGAAGCACAAATGTGGGTAAACTCAAATGTGTACATGTCTCAATAACATTCAAAAAAGTGACCTTATGACAGCACACTGACAGGAGATGGCAGCAAACTTAGCTATGAAGCATATAACTATGTGAGTGTATTCAAAGAACAGAGAACAACTGATCTGACATTTTACCATTAATTGTCACTTAAAGAAAAGATAGGTAAAGGTAAAGCTTTCCCCTTTGACAAGGTTATCAAGTCATGTCTGACTGTAGGGGGTGATACTTATCTCTGTTACTTAGCCGAGGGAACCAGTGTTGTCTAAAGACCAGCATGACTGCACAGAATGCTGTTACCTTCCCACCAAAGTGGTACCTATTTATCTACTTTCACTTTTTCATGCTTTCAAACTGCTAGGTTGGCAAAAGCTGAGATTAGTGACAGAAGCTCACTCCATCATGTAGCACTTGGGCCTCGAACTGCCGATATGACGACTTTGCAATTTCACAGTCAGTGTCTTAACCGCTGAGCCATTGCATCCAAGTAAAAAGAAGATACTTAATTGTATCATAATTATTACAATTAAGTATCTTTTTTATTACAATTAAAAATATACTTAATTGCAATAATTAACTACAACCTAGTTAAACTGGGGGCTCATTCCCACTTACATTTTGCGATTCCCCTTTGCTCCATGTCAGTGAATTGATTTCAAAAGGTTTGTTGTTCCCACTATGAAAGAGGATCTTTTCATTATTCCATTGTAATCGCTTCTTTTTTGGCACAAATGTCATTCCCACTAGTTTGTGCCACTTCAAAATGCATGTCATTGGTGATGCAAGCAGCAACACGGTGAGGATGGCCATTCCAGGCACCGAGCAGGGCGCCTCTAGCAACTGAGCCTTCCTCTGCCCTTTAGCATCCCAGGCTGCTCAAGCACACCATTTCCCCTTTGAGCAATTATATACACACAAACTTAAAATTGACAGGATATGCGATCCATTCGTTTTGCAACTACTTGCCTCACTGAGCTGCAGTCCCTCTGTAATTGCAAGTAGTTGCTAATGCAAATGGATCACATATTGTGTCAAATATATATATCACACCCATAGGTCACACCACAAGCACAAAGGCAGTGCTGAGAGGGAGCGGAAATGGCTAATTTTCCAAAAACAGGAGGGATGGTAAACACCCTTCTGCCATTAGTCCTTTCCAGAATGATGCTATTCTGATCCGTCATTCCCACTTGTTGAACACACTTCGGAATCGATTCTTTTCCAAAGAACCACCAAAAAAATAGTGTCAGGAAACATCAGGGTTTTTTGCGTTTGCCTCAATTCATCGCAATTGCAACCAATAGGATTGGAACCAGGTTCGAGTGGGAACGATGGTCATATAACCCAATCAGCAATTTGCTTTAAATCCTAGTGGGAATAAGGTCTCAAATGCATGGAATTGAAAGCATGGAAACTTGCTGTGCCAGTGCATAAAAAGTGTTCAGGGTGAGGGAAATGAACAGTGCTTCATTAATACATAACCAAGTATTTGGTTCAATTTTAAATACATTTATTTGGAAGTGTGTGTGTGAGTCTTTAAGTCACCTGTCGACTTACGGCAACTCACAAGATTTTTCATACGGTTTTCTTAGGCAAGGAATACTCAGAGGTGTTTTGCCAGTTCCTTCCTCTGAAATATAGCTCAGAGCACTGGGTATTTGTTGGTGGCCTCCCATCCAAGTACTAATGAGGGTACCTTTCCTAAAATTTCCACTGGCTCACCCTTCAGGGTTACTCTGTTGCAGCTACAATGTGGTATCTCACAATCCAGAAAGCCCAGAAAACATGCAGGAGTAGCTGTGTTGGCCATTTAGCCAGTGGACTGAGACCTATAAAAAAGGTAAAACAATTTTTTCCTTCTTAAATTTGGACTGGATTGGCATATTTTACCTCTACACCTACCAAAATGTTCCTGATGCAAAAACATGGGGACTTCTTGAGAAATCCATTGTCCTCTGCCTACAAAGAGGCCTCACAGGAATGGAGACATTGGATTGCAAGAGAGGAGTCCTTGTTGAGATGCAAATGGCCTTTAGATTTCCTGGACTTTGAAAATCTCCCAATTGCCACATGGCCAGAAGGAGGAGGGGCCAACCTGCAAAAGATACCCTCCCCATACCATCTTAACTAAGGACAGAAACGACAAAATGCAGGCATCTGACTAACATTTCCAATTATTTTTCTCCTGTTTGGTTTGTAACATCTTGCCTGATGAAGAAGCCAGTGGAGCTTCGAAAGCTTGCAACAAGTATATTGTGCATTTCAGTTGGCCAATAAAGGTATCACTGTTTGGTGGATTTTTGTTTGAATTTGCTAAATGGCCAACACAGCTACCCCTGCATGTTTTCTAGGGTGATAGTATACAGTCTTGCCTGACCTTTTTTCGAATTGGGAACTATGCTATTTCTCCATATTCAGTTCTAATGGCAGCATCTTGCCCTGAGTACAGGTTACACATCAGGACTATCAAATATAATGGCACTCTTATTTCTTTGACACCATTCCATAACTTTCTGTGATCTGTGCAGTCAAAGGCTTTGCTGTAGTCAATAAATAACATGCAGTTTTTCTTTTGGAATTCCCTGATGCACACCATTATCCATCTTGTGTTTTCAGTGGTACATATCTTTAGATAATTCAGTTTAATGGCTTATGGATCTGTGGGATGCAATTTTAGTTTCCCAGGGTGTTAACCCTTTTAAAGGAAACAAAAAATATGCAAGTATGAAAGTTAAACTTGTTAGAGTCCAATTTTCATTAGCAGAGCTCATGGGTCAGAAAACGTGGGTGAGATTATATTTTAATATGCTTTCCTAAAGAATAAAGACTAATTTTAAAAATGTATAGATTTTTGTGAGTTTTTTGAGCTTTGAGGCCGTGTTCTAGAAGAATGTATTCCTGATGTTTTGCCTGCATCTGTGGCTGGGATCTTCAGCGAAACGTCAGGAATACATTCTTCTAGAACACGGCCTCAAAGCCCGAAAAACCAACAAAAACCTATGGATGCCAGCTGTGAACAACAGTGCCTGGAGTGAACCCCTCTTTGATAAGAAGCTGGTTCAGTTTCTGGCTTGTGGATCTGATTAAACTTGTTTCCTGTTCACACGTATCTCCATCTTAAGTGCTTAACTCTTACTACCATCAATTCTCCTGCACAAATTCTATTTCCTAGACTTTTTTGTCTTAACTACTTTTGAGAACAGTAGTAAATACGGAGCGCTGGCTGAAATCTAATTAGATTGTGGAAGGTATCGCTGCTCCCTCATCTGATTGTCTTCTGCAATTGCACTCCAAGTGTATCTTGCATGTTATCTGACAATCCTTTACCAAAGTAAGGCATATCCTGCCTTGAGAAAAAAAGAATAAATACAATTTGGACATTATTGTGTCTTACTGATTTGTAATTTGGGAAGTTCAAGACAAGAACATTGTCTGCAGTATTTAAAACAGATGGGAAACAAGCTGGATTCAAAATAAAAAGTGCTCTTCTGGAAGCATGAACATCTAACATTCAGGAACAATCGTATGGGAAATCTATTCTAGGATTTTTGAACTAACTTGTTGTTGTTGTTTGCCTTCAAGTTGTTTTTGACTTATGATAACTCTTAAGGCAAACCTATCATGGGGTGTTCTTGGCAAGATTTGCTCAGAGAAGGTTTGCCATTGCCTTCCCCTGAGGCTGAGAGCATGTGACTTGCCCATTGCGGAACAGGGAATTGAACCCTGATCTCCAGGGTCGCAGTCCAACACTCAAACCACTATGCCACACTTCCTAGAGAACCAAATTTATTCAAAAATTCATCTAGGAACACAACTTGAGTCTTCTAGCATCTCATAAAGGCTTATAGCTCTGAATTCTCTTACAAATTTTTACAGAGTTATACAGCATTTCAATAAAATGGTCCTAGGTTTCCTTAAATGAAAAATCGCACTCAGATATATATGCTTGAATATAGGCCCATTTACCAAAGAGGGTAAAATGATATGCTTTATATTCATGTAACTCAATTGTTATAGCCAGCTTGATGTAGTCGTTTGATCATTGGACCACAGTTTGTATCCCAGCTCTGCCATATAAACCCACTGGGTGGCCTTGGGCATGTCACACTCTCTCAGCCTCAGGATGGGAATGGCAATCCTGCTCTGAAGAAACTTGCCAAGAAAATCCCATGATAGGTTTGCCTTAGGATCACCATAAGTCAGAAATAACTTGAAGGCACATAACAACAACACAATTGTCACTACTTGGAATGAAATGGACCAAATTATGAGTCAGTTGTCAAGCAAATAGAACAATACTTCTCAAAATGATGGTCACTGGCAGGTTTCCAGGAAAGAAAGAAACAGTTGTACCCAATGGACACAAATTAAGTGCTGGTCTCTGGCACATGGGGGGGGGGGAATTGACAGTCCCCCCACATCAGATAGCCCGAGAAGCACTGGTATAAAGCAATCTCATCACACTGAAAGTGATAAAAGATTGCAAAACCATAATGTTACTGGGTGCTGCTAATACAAGAATATTTTATTCTCTCTGGGACAGATGTGAATTAATGATTGAGTTCTATACAGAAAGGTCTGAGAAAACCAAGAAACCTTTCTTAAAGGAGCCCTGGTGGCACAGTGGTTAAATGCCTGTACTGCAGCCACTCACTCATAGACCACAAGGTTGCGAGTTCAATACTAGCTAGGGCTCAGGCTAGACTCAGGCCTGCATCCTTCTGAGGTCGCTAAAATGAGTACCCAACTCTTGGGGCAATGAGCTTACAGTTGTAAACCGCTTAGACATCCCATAGCACGATATGAAGCGGTATATAAATGAAGCTGCTTTGCTTTGCTTTAAATACAGTGGGCCCTTGGTATCCACTTGGATTTGGTTCCAGACCAGAACCTCATGGATAACAAACAGCAACAGCATAGTAAAATGGTGTCCCTTATATAAAATGGCAAAATCAAGGTTTGCTTTTTGGAATGTATAAAATATTTTCAAGCTGTGGGTGCTTGAATCTGTAAGTAATAAAACCATGGATATGGAGTGCTGACTGTCCATTTTAACTGCTTTCTGCTGGTGAAAATTCAGGGCTACATACATGCCTCTCCACCACTATTCATATGGTATGAATGTGATGCCATATTGCTGTACATACCGTACCTAACAATAAGTGTGACTCATCGTTTTCTTTAAGTTGAAGGATAGCAAAATTCAAGATATGTATATAGATAGGTTCCTCATGGATGCAATCCTTTCTGAGGCCATGGAATCTCTGGAAGAAATGGTAAGGGGTAACAGCTCTCACATCTACTGTATACATGGGTTTTATATGCTTAAAGCAGGGGTAGGCAACCTTTCCCCTTTAAGGGCCGAGGGACTTCAGTTCCCGGAAGCCTCAGCCATGTTGGCCAATAGTCCCATGTTGGCCAATAGCTCCTGGGATTCTGGGAGTTGAAGTCCCTCGGCCCTTAAAGGGGAAAGGTTGCCTACCCCTGGCTTAAAGGATGTATAACAAAATACAGTGGTCCCTTCACATTCACTGGGGTTAGGGATGAATGACCCCCATGAATGTGGAAAAACTGCAAATAAAAACACACTATTTTTTTTTTACCTGAAAGACCACCTCTCTAGATATCTCCAGTGCAACTCTATGGTCAACATCTGCCAGAAGTTGATCATAGAATCATGCTGCTGGAGGACCTACAAATGCCTAGAGAAGTGTTTTCTCTAGGAGCATCTAGGTTCTCCAGCACAACTCTATGGTCAGCTTTTGGCAGAGTTGTATTGGAGGACTTAATAATAATAATAATAGTTTTTATTTGTATTTTCCTGCCATTGACTAGGATTCACACAAAGAACCAGAGGCCATCCCAGTGGACCAAATTCTTGGGCTGAAGGATCGAGGCGGGATTACAGCAAAAATACAATATATAAAACCATGACAATAATAAACTTAGAGATTCCTAGAAAGAATATATTAATCCAAAGCACAAATAATCAAATCGGCAAAAGTCAAAGCCACAAATGTGGAGGGCCAACTGTAACTAACTGGGTGTTCACTATTTAATCAAACTGGCCTGTTTAATAGTAGTAGTAGTAATAATAATAATAATAATAATAATAATAATAATAATAGCAGCAATGATGATGATGTGATGACGATGATGATGCAGGTTTTCAGCAGCTGCAGATCCATTAGCAGGCTCTGTAAGGTCAACTTACCCTGTACAGATTAGGAGACTATTACCCTCAAATGTCTGTTCCTTTGTTAAAATGGTATGAATTTTTCTCCCTTTGCCTGTGAATGTGTTGGTGCTGTTCAGAACAAGGCTGAGAGGGTGTTCAAAGTTCAGGAAAGGCCAAGTGCATTCAAGTGTAGTTCAGCCCAAGAATTTGGTCCACTGGGATGGCTTCTGGTTCTTTGTGTGAATCCTAGTCAATGGCAGCTGTGACAAAGGAGAGCTTCCAACAGCTGAACTGATGTGAGCTACCTTTGATTTTATGTTTTATTGCCACATCTCTTTTAATACCTTTATGCAAGGATCCTTTTGGTGCATCGGTCATTCATTTTCATTTTGAGCACCCTCAGGTCTTGCTTGGCTTGGGAACTTCTGGGCCTGGAACTGCTATACAGCCAGCCCTGTGTTTTTTGGGATGCATTGGAAAGAATGCAGCGCTGATGACACTCCATGTGTACAAGGTCACTGTATTCTGACATTACATTTTAAAAATAATTTGCACTTGTGATTCATGTTGATTTTGTTCATTGCACTATTTAAAAGCAACTAGTATTGTTTGTCAGATTTTGATTTACTTTTCATTAGTGTTTTTTTCAGGGGCTGGCTAAGATTTAATAAAAGAATGGCAGAACACTTGAACCATTTCTGTCAAAACGCCTCTAAAATGCCCTTTTCAGGGAACTTTAATAGATAACTACAAAGTCATACATAAATAGAAAGTGTTTATCATAACACTGTCAAAGTATGTCCCCATTCATCCTGTTTGTAAAATGAAACTTTGTTACACTTGTATTACAGGCTGAGTCTCCCTTATCCAAAATGTTTGGGACCAGAGGTGTAGGATTTCATATTTATTTTATTTTGGAATTTTGCATATATGTACATATTGAGATATTGTAGAGATGGGACCAAAGTTTACATATAAAATTCATTTATAGATATAGATCTTATATGCACAGCCTGAACATAATTTTATACAGTATTTTTAATAATTTTGTCCATAAAACAAAGTTTGTGAACTGTGAACCATCAGAAAGAAAAGGTGCCACTATCTCAGCCAACCATAAAAAAAATAATAATATTTCAGAATTCTGGATAAGGGAGACTTGACCTATACCAAAAAGTAGCCATTACATTTAACTGCATTACTTGCGTTTTGTTGCTTCCAGACTCTGCTTCTGCATTTTCTGCTGGCCAATAAGCATAGACCTATTGACTAGCCCCAGAGGAATCACCTGTTGAATACTGATAGTATCACACTCTCATAATAAAATTATTTATTCTCTGTACCTGCAGTACTTTGTTTTTACTGTTGGGGGTAGAGGATGAACGGGGAAAGATACCTTCATAAAGGTCTGGTGTATAATTCTCATCTTTTCACTATTAAATTATTATAGTACCTTCATTATTGGTGAAATTAGTTTAGCATGAATTATTTTCCATGATTTAGAATATATATATATATATATATATATATAGAGAGAGAGAGAGAGAGAGAGAGAGAGAGAGAGAGAGAGAGAGAGAGAGAGAGAGAGAGAGAGAGAGAGAGTCAGATCTAGGGATTTAGGACAACTATCCCAAACATGAGATAAGCTTTTCACTCCATTTCTGTTGACATTTCCCTGAGAAGAGTCCTGAATATTCTGATTTTATCTTTTAACATGAAAATGCAGCAACAACAGGGGGCAAATTCTGCTTTCATCTCGACTGCAACAGAGTTGTTTGTTTTTTAAAATGCTACTTGCTCCTGTTCTAATCCTTAGTTACATCAGTGTCTGGTGTGTATATATTTGAGATATGGATGTGTTCCTTATGCTTTCATACATTGTTTCATACCCGTCATCAAGCCTTTGTGGTACATTCTTCCAATAATGTAATTTTTGCCAATAATTGTTTATTGTAAATACAGGAGATCATCTCTTTACCTAAGCATAATTACTGCCTTAAAATTATAGCAGATCAGAAAGAGCTCCCTGCCAAATAAAATCCCCCCAACACTTCTCCTGTTGTCTACTCCAGCCCTTCCACAGTCAGAATTATTTTTAAGAATGCATTAATTTCAGGTTTCTGTATAGCACCACTTGCTTGAATTAAAAAAGGCCATTAGTATCATTCCACTGACACTAAAGGCACTGTGCACTACCTTTATTTCACATTTCAACCACCATAGTATGACTAAAAACTGAGCATGCAAAGTCCTTGGTGTCAATGCAGTGAGAAATACATCTCTGGTAATAGCTCACCTTTTATTTTATTGTCTTTTTATCCTCCCCCCCCCCGAAGAACCCTGGGGGGTCCTTTGAAAGCAGGATAGCAAATATTCTAACACAAGATAGATTTGTCCAGTTAAAGGGGAATATCCCCAGTTAAGTCAAAGAATATTTCAGCCACTCTGAAATGTTCAGATTACTTAATTTGGACATTATATCCCTGTTCAAACAGTCTAGGATTGCACTAGTTAATAATTTTTATGTTGGAAAGAAAATTAAATTATTACTAGAATAGACAGATTACTAGATAGATATACAGTAGGTGGTATATA